AAATCATAAATCACAAGTAAATCATATAAGAACATAAAACCAAATCATCATTGATTTTCAAAAACGAGAGATGCAACCATATCTAGCTCTTGAGCTAGTATAAACCCATATAAACATTTTAGCACCCGGTAAACAAGATTTGGGAATAAACACCTAATAAATCCGGAGGGTTATATAAACACAAACCTCTCATCAAAACAAAACCAATAATCATGAAAACAAAAGAATTTGATCAATGAAAAAATTTGTTTTCATGTTCAAAAGTTTAAAGTATAATTTTTCAAATCAAGAAAAAAGAAAAATAAAAACACTAAAATTCTTGGTTTAAAATTAAATTTGTTTTGGTACCCAAGTATTCTTAGTACCAAAAGGTTTAGGGACATGACCCCTATCATTTAAGCTCAAAGCCCTAGAGTTATGAACCCTCTTGGGTACATATGGTGCACTAACACGGTCAAAACAATATTCATTCAAATGACCATTCTGATTGCAATTTGTGCAATGAAAGAGATCCATTTGTTTTTGTGGACCATTAGCTCGTGCACGGGAATCATTTGCAAATAAAGATTGTCTTTTAGATTCATTTTGCAAATGAGAAGCATTCTTAAACAATGGTCTATTTAGAACATATTGCAACTTTGGAGCTTTTTGTAAATCAAAACAAAATTTAGCAAGATGTCCAAACCTACCACAAACATCACATTTAAAAACATGTGGTCTACTAGAAACATTTGGCAAACGTGATTTTCTTTTCAAATCAAAACAATACTTGGCCAAATGACCAAAATGACCACAATGATCACACTTGAACACACTAGCATGCTTATGATGAACTTTGTAAGAATGAGCATGTGAGTGTGAAAGTGCACATGATGATGAAGCAACATGAGATGCACAAGGAGCATTGACATTCTTAGGCTTGTATGCATCATAGCAAAAATTTGCTAAATGGTCTTTTCGGCCGCAAATGGAACACTTGTGAATTTTGCTATACATGTGTGCATGATGTGTGATATGTTTAGGTGTAGTAGCATGAGACTTAGCACACATGTTCATAAGCTTATCATGATTTACTATACATGTTTTCAAGGTTGAATCTAAATAAGATATACGAATTAACTTGACTCAACTCATCATTTTGCATACATGTATTGGAAATAGAAGTAGATGAAATATGATCATTTCTAAAAGAATTAAACTCATTTCTAATAGTTTTTACTTCTAACATGGCATTATCTTCAGCATGAGATAAGCTAGATATGGATAAGATCAATTTTTTATTTTCCAAAATTAACACGTCATTGTTCTCTTTAAGCATAGTATTTTCTTTTACAATGATATCAAATTTGGAAACTAGTATCTCATGATCGGATTTCAAATCTACATGCTTGCTTTTTAGATCTATAAAATTACTTTGTAATTTTGTATAGGCATGAGACAATCTTTCATATGCACAAGCGAGTTCATCAATAGATAAATCATTTTCGGAATCGAAATCGCTTACTACACAAGAGTTATCCTCTTTGTGGCCGTGTGCATGATGCTCCACATGAACTTGAAGAAGAATCCTCCAAAGCTTGTCGGATTGCCTCCAAGTCCCCTTGATGTGCTTCAATGAATTTTCAAAATTTGTAAGCACCATCAAAATGAACAAATTTGTTAGAAAAGGATGAGTCAAAAGTATTAAGCAAAAATTCTAACAAAAGCTTGTTCATTAAAAATATTTTCTTATCATGATTGCTCCACTTGGATTTCTCCAATGTGGACATAATATAAGCACAATCAATAACTTCCCATAAGTCAATATTTCTAGATTTAACAAATATTTTAAATTTTGAGCACCATTGAGCATAAGGGAAATTTCTAAATTTTGGAGCAATATTTGGATCATAGCCTAAACGAAATATATTTATATTCATGATATATATGTGAATATATGCAAGCAAGACAAATGCAATCATAACTAGATTAGCATAAGTAAGATAACTTGGATCTTTAACTCAAGACGATTAGTCCTTAAATCAAAGAGCACCTAGCTCTGATACTAATTGTTAGACCCTAGAGGGGGGTGATTAGGGTCTTATGCTAATCTAATCCGATTATATGCCAATTAAAACTATTAACAGAATATCCTAGCAAGAATGAAATGCAATAAGATATATTAGCTAGGATAAGGCAATATGAACAATGAAATATATTTAGCTAGGATAAGGCAATATGAACAATGAAATATATCCTAGCAAAGAGATATACTTTGAGATATATATGCAAGGATATGAAACTAACACAAGGGTAAATAATATGAAATAAGATAGTGGATGATATAAATAATGAGACAATGGCGATATGAGCAATGAGCACAAATATAAATAAACGCCAAAGCACACTCAAACACAATTAAATGATCACGGAGTTCGGACATTCCGTCCTACGTCTCCGCTCCCCACTCCCGGGGAGAAATCTACTATCACAACCTGGTTTTCTACGCTCACCCGAATAACGTTTACACCTCACAATGTCGGTTTTTAATGTTAACCGATCAACGTTCACAATCACTCACAGTGTCGGTTTTCAACGCTCACCGATCAACGTTCACTCCTCACACTAAAGCATAATTACAACAATTGTTTGTTCTCTAATATGGATGAGAACACAATGAAACCTCATACTTAATTGTTACAACTCCCTACAACCTAATTATATAATGTATGTAAATACAATAAGCTCAATGGTTATGTGTGTAAGCAATGAGAAAATAAAAACAAATCTAAATTCAATATAAAAACTAGCTTTAAAGAATGATAATCAAATAACTAAGCAACATGTAAAGCTTGATAGAGTTTAGAAAACTTCTCCAATAAATAACAAGAGAGAGAGAGAGAGAGAGAGAGAGAGATGGATTTGAAGCTCAAATATCAATGAATTGATATCCACTTCCTCTTGTAGAATTCTTCACAAATCAAACCCTTAAACAAACTTAAAACCAAACTTAAACTCTTTTAAAACTTGTTTTAAAACATTTCTAGGGTTGGGTGAGATCAAGGGGGTATTTATAGCCTCCCAAAAACTCAGCCAAGAACCCCAAACAAAAGACCAAAAGCTCCAAACAACGGCTGCAGAAAAATAGCCGTTGGGAATGATAAGATAGTGCGGCGGTCGACCGTGAGAAACTCGCGGTCGACCGTGAGAAACTCGCGGTCGGAAACTCGCGGTCGACCGCGAGCAACTAAAAGGCAAAACTGGGCTTTTGAAAAGCTGACGGTCGACCGCGGCAGTCGACCGTGAAACTCTTTGGACTGCATACGGTCGACCACCACGGTCAACCGCGAGCCAACTAAACTCATACTGAGTTTTTGAACTCAGGGGCGGTCTACCGTGGCGGTCGACCGCAAACTGACATATGCAAAAAATCTGATTTTCTGAATTTAAAACTCTGTTTAAAAATATCAAATAAATTTAAAAAAATATAAAACTTTGAAAAATGATTGTAGACATGATAAAAAACATGCTACAAAGACTGGTTTATAAAAAAGACTTCCCAAATGTAAAATATCATCATTTTACAAAATAGTCCAAAACATGAAAGTGTAAACATACGAGTTTTGATATTTTAGCTTAACCATATTTTGAAACAATACAAAATGATTTTGTAGACTTGAACAAAGATGTAAACTATTGTTATGAAGTCTATAAACAATGAATATAGTATTTTATCAAAATACACATATAATGCACTAAAACATGATTTCATTGAACTAAATAAAATTGATATTGATGAAATCATATATATGCATATAAGTATGAAACTAAAATATGTTTTCTAATTATATTTAATTGTTTCATAGTAAAACTTGAAAACTATCAAACCAAAACATATATGTATATATATAACTATATATATACAAAACCAAAACGTGTATGTGTGTATATGATTTAGGCTTCACTCCACAATTCCGCCAACCTCCATTGGATATGATCGTGAATGCGCAATTCCATCCATCCTCCAACTTGTTGTTTGCCTAGAATAAATACGAAAACACAAACACTAGACAAACAACATTAGAAGTAAATTGTTTGTTAAACATCATCAAAACAAGAAGGCTAACACCAGTTTCACTAGTACAAAACTGGTCTGTCCAAACGGTTCTCGTAACTATTTGGGCAAGTGAAAATAGCGCAAACGGGTTAAACCATTTGGGATAACATAACCCAAACGGTTACAACCGTTTGGGCAAGAAGGAGATTCCAAACGCACAGCCCAAACGGTTGCAACCATTTGGGATATTACCCCAAACGGGTTAAACCTTTTGAGTGCTTTGTTTTCTATTTTTTTTTTGTAAATAAATTAATTTCTCCGTAGGTTTGGGTGTTTTATTATTTCTCCGTCGTTCTCTTCCTCCGCTCTACCCCCAAAAATTTCCCCCAAGAACAATTTTTCACTTTAGCCCTTTTAAAATTTTTTATTATTAAAATCAATCATTTTTTCTTTTATTTACCAAAACCGACCCGATTTCTTGATTAGCGGCTTAATCACATTCCTAATTAGTCGGGGTTGCCAACCCCGACTATTTAGGAGGGTCTTAAACCCTAATTAGAAGACTTAAACCCTAAAAATTAATATCCTAAATAGTCGGGGTTGGCAACCCCGACTAATTAGGAATGTGATTAAGCCTGCCAACCCCGACTAATTAGGAATGTGATTAAGCCGCTAATCAAGAAATCGGGTCTGTTTTGGTAAATAAAAGAAAAAAAAGTCGATTTTAATAATAAAAAATTTAAATAGGGCTAAAGTGAAAAATTATTCTTCCCCCAATCTCCGAAATCCCCTCAGATCCTTCATCATCATCATCGTCCTCTTCATCCTCTCAAAGAACCGCCTCCTCTTCACCATCCCCTCAAATCCCTCATCATCGTCGTCTCCATCCTCTTCATCATCGTCGTCATCTCCATCCCCTCAGCGACTGTCCCCACGGCCGCTCCCTCTGGCGCCTCCGCCTTCACCGCCGCACCGCCGACGAGTCCTCCTCCTCACCCTCTGCCTCTTCCACCAGCGACGGCGTCCACGTGCCTCTATCTTGGCTGAGGTACATATTCTCGCTCAAATATTACTGCATGTCTTGCTTTCGTGATGTGTTTCGTTTGAAACAGAGTGGAAGGAGGATCGGTTACTTGATGATTCTTTAGGACACATAGGGGAATGAATAAGGTGGAGATAGGTGGTGTTCGTTTGATTTTGATTTGCAGAAATGTGAATTGTAGGCTTATATGATTCTGATTGCTATTGTTCTCTGAGTTCTTTTTTATTTTTCTGTCTATCATCCTACTATACTGCTTGCTTCTGACTCTCCCAACCTTTTCTTGACCCTGCTACAAATTAGAGAATGTGGATTTTATCTTTTTGATTCTTCTCAAATGAATACTAGCTAGTCTCGCCCTTGATTTTGAGGATTGTGGAAAATATTTCTTAGCTTATTAGTTCAATGCTTAAAAAGTAACACCTATACTATTCTATAAATTCTTGGTTATACATTCTATTTACAATAATGTAACATCTTATTAGTCCGACTTATTTCTACTAGAAGTAAAATGACATGAAACACTTTTTCCCATAGGAAGTTTATGCTGGAAGAGGAATTTTTTTTAAAGATGCTTTCTGCATCATTGATAGTCTTCTCATTTTCTTGTTCTCCCGAATATATAGACAAAAAAAGTAAGATTGCAATTGCTATGAACATGGAAGGAAATTCAGTTTTTCCTTAGAGGCTTGCATCATAACTAGTTGATTTTATTAGAAGATGTCAACTTGTGGCATTCATGACTTCCGAGTTTCCTCTAATTTGTCGAATAATTATAAGCTTGTATTGGCATCAGCTTGCTTATTTGACATACTTAAACCGGCCATCATGCATCATGATTTTATTTAAAATTTGATGTAAGCAGTTGTCAGCCCTTAACCTGTGGTATATAAAGTTTGGCTTCCCTGCCACAGTTAGACCTAGACAAAAACTCGTTAAAGTATCTTTCCGAGCAATGATTGTTTCTATTTATCTCATCCCATTGAACCTCAGCTTTAATTGGAATTAAGGAATACCGTCCCAAAAGAAAAGAAAAAAGATCATCCTATTTCAAGAAATTTAACAGGGAAAAAAGGCTTAAAAGAATGAACAAGTATTCAAAGGATACGTGCTGTCTTCCACAAGTCTGTAATGCTAACTTCAGCATCCGACAGTAGTATGCATTTGTCTACAAAACAGTATAATACATGTTCATATTATTTGTTTCATCATATAAATTAAAAGGTCTTCTAAGCAAAAAACAAGTTAATTAATAAATAACAAAGAGGCAAACGTTGAGATTATGATGATAATTGTGAGAAAAATAGTAGTAAAGTAGGAGTTGAATTGTAGGAGTTGAATGGAGGGTTGATCTATTTTTGGCCACACCGGTAGAAAACTTTGATCTTATATGCAATTCTATCTAAAAGACTAATGACTGACACCAACAGACTTCATCTACATGTTTTCTGTAGCTGAGAAGACCTACCGGTAGATTAATTGAATGAACTTATTTAGGGCAGGATGGTTGCTAAACCTGTAGCTGAGAAGTTTGTTTTCAGGAGTCTAGGCCTCATTAGCTGGGTATCAAGGAGAAACTGAATATAAACCCCTATCCTAATAAATATGATGAAACTTGTTTTGATATTAACAAGTGTGGTCTTAGTGTTATATGATCTGTGCAGAGACACTTATTTTTCACATGATTATGTTATATACATTCATGAGTCTTTTCTCGTTATAATGTGGTAATGTATGGACAACACTTATTGAAGATTTAACATATAAAGAGATTAATTGGAGATTTTAGGGAATCAAACGACTTTTTTCCATAAGCAATTATCCTATTTCTTGGCCTTTGCTTCTCCTTGTGTTTACACATTCTTGTACGTTTGCTGTTTCATTTTGTGTAAGACTATAGAAGCAATTACATCATATCTATTATAACTTCAGACCTTTCTTTATATGCACTAAAATGGTAATAGTTAAACATTCCACGAGATTCTTTATATTGCATATGCAGGAATTTAATCAGGTTTCTATTTCTTGAATTATTTTTAGGCTTGTCTTTTGCTTTGTTTTTCTCTCCATGTACCTTATGTTTTGTTCCGTTAAGTTGTTAGGAGTTGTTACTGATAAATTATTTTATTTAGGTTAGCATGGCCCGTAACTACATCAGAGATAAGGATTGGATGTACGTGGGTCGTGCAAACGCATGTAATATTTTTTTGTTAATGGAGTTAGTGCGTTTATGGACTTTCTTCGTAGACACGATATGGTCCGACATGGGAGACTCATTTGTCCATGTAAATTATGCACGAATAGGTTGTATCAATTGGAGGAAGAAGTAGAACTTTACATTGTGAAGAATGGTTTTGTTAGCGATTACAAAACTTGGGTATATCATGGAGAAATTGAAGGTCTCATTGATGCAGATGAAGAATAACAAGAAGAAGACAACTTGCTTCTCGATGAGGAAATGGAAGAAATGGTTGAGGTAGCTCTTGGTAAAACACTAACCCTGCTGAAGATCCTCCTTTCGGAGGAGGACATCGTGAAGACAATTATGATAAATACATGAATGATGCTAGGAGGTCCATTTATGAAAATACAAAACACTCCACGCTATCATGGTTCGTCCATCTATTCTAGATTAAATGTCTAAATAAATAGAGCAACAAGTTATTTACGATGCTCCTCAAGTTTCTTAAAGATTCTATGCTTCTGGGGAACCATGTGCCTGAGAGCTGGTACGAAGCTCAAAAGATAATGTCTAATCTGGGTCTAAAGTGTGAGATGATACATGCATGTCCCAATGATTGTATACTTTACTGGAAAGAAAATTCAGATAAGACGAAGTGTCCTACTTGCGGAGAGGCTAGATATAAGAAAGTACATGGTCAGAAGAAGGATATACCTATCAAGATAGTATGATACTTTCCCATTACACAGAGGCTGCAGAGGCTATTCAAGTGTAAGAAGATAATAGTGGCGATGACTTGGCATCACCGTGCATGTCCAAGTGAAAATGGACGAATGAGTCATCCTAGAGATACACCTGCATGGAAGGATTTTGATAGTAGACACTCAACATTTAGTCAGGAACCTCGCAATATCAGGCTGGGATTGGCTAGTGATGGCTTTTGCCCCTTCAGCTTTAAGGGCAATCCCCAAAGCACATGGCCCGTTGTGATGATGGTTTATAACCTCTCACTGTGGTTAGCTATGGACCAATCATATTTCATGATGCCTCTTCTTATTGATGGTCCAAAGTTATCCGAAAACAATATTGACGTCTATCTTCGACCTCTTATTGAAGAGTTAAGGTCTTTATTCATCGATGGTGTGGAGACATACGATGCAGACACGGGGACAAACTTTACCATGCGTGCAGCCTTAATGTGGACAATCAAAGATTTTCCCGTGTACAGAATGCTATCTGGATGGTCTGTTCATGGTTACACTGCATGTCCTTACCGTCATCTCCAGACAACATCGAGAAGACTACCCTTTAGCAATAAGACTTGTTATAGCGGCCATCGGCGCATGTTGTATAAAAATCATCCGTACATAGATGACATCATCCACTTTGATGGTACTAAAGAGAATCACCCACGTCCAAACCCATTATCCAGAGAGGATATACTTGCTCAGTGGATTGGTAAAAACAATGCGACTTTCGGAAAAGTTAAGGGAAGGCAAGAAACACCACAGGGATGGAACGAGAAAAGTATCTTCTTCGAACTACCCTACTAGAAGACAAATAAAGGCACTGTTTGGCAACCAAAAAAAGTGTCTTATCTAAGAGCTTGTGTTTTATTGACTTGGTCAATAAGCTAGTAGAGCTGTTTGGTGACAAAAAATAGGAGGAGATTATTTTGGAGATTGTGTCTTTTGCAAGTAGCTTTTGGAAAGCTATCTCAAGTAGCGTTTGTCTTTGGGAAGGAGCTATCAATTTTTTTCTTCCGTTTTTACCCCTAATAATTCTAATTTTATATCAATAATATTGCATGATCTTTTTAGTCATTTAACAAATTTAAGTTAGTTGTACAACTTCTTTTGTCAAACAGCTCTAGTCAATCAGCTAGCTACACAGCTATCAGCTTTCAGCTATAATTTTACAGTTTTCAGCTAGCTTGACAGCTTTCAGCTATAATCTCGCAGCTTTCAGCTAGTTTTGTCAAACAGAGCCAAAGTGCGACACAATCTAGATGTCATGCACATTAAGAAGAGAGTATATGAGCACATACTTAACTTAGTTCTCTGTAAAGATGAAAAATCAAAAGATAACCTCAAAGCTCGAAGGGATCTCCAGGCATGGAATATTAGAAAAGAGTTGCATCCTATACTGAAGGCAGGCAATCCTGACCAATTTGTACTCCCCAATGTCATGTATCAGATGTCACCAGATGAGAAGAAAAAGTTTCTTTAGGTGTTAAATGAGCTGAAGGTTCCTATGAGGTTTTCAGGATCATTTAGTAAGAAGATAAATATTGTTAAAGGCAAGATCGAAGGGTTGAAGAGTCATGATCACCATATTATTATGGAGCATCTTCTTCCACAGGCAAGATCGAAGGGTTGAAGAGTCATGATCACCATATTATTATGGAGCATCTTCTTCCACTCTCTCTTAGGACTTCTCTCCCTATCATGATCACCATATTATTATGGAGCATCTTCTTCCACTCTCTCTTAGGACTTCTCTCCCTAAATCAGTCGGTTTAGTGATCAACGATTTTTCCAGATGTTTTCAGGAATTGTACGCTAAAAACATTGAGGATGATAAGTTGAAGAAGCTAGAGGCTGAAATTACCTTAATTTTGTGCAAGCTTGAGCAAATTTTTCCACCATCATTCTTTGATATCATTATACACCTGACTGTTCATCTTGCAACCAAGGCTAGGCTTGACGTACCGATACAATATCAATGGATGTACCCCATCGAAAGGTACCTTTAGTTTTTCAGTTAACGTAATCAATATATTTTTATTTTATAGCTTGGATGCAGTGATTTAGTGTAAGCTTTTGTAGGTACCTTCTCACTCTGAAAAATTATATTCGTAATAGAAATCAACCAGAGGGTTCTATTATGGAAGGTTATCTGTTAGAGGAGGTAACCACTTTTTGTTCCCGTTATCTAGATGAAGACATTGAGACAAAACTCAACAGACTTGTTGTGATCCATAATGGACCATCTAAAAAGCCAGATTATAATAGAATGACGTCCGCGTTTATCAACAAGATTCATCACTTTATCCTTCTCAATCTCGAATGCCTTGGAGAAGTTAGAGAGTATGTCTATTTCGCATAATTATATATGTTTATATGACATAATATACTTCTCATATTAACTACTCATTTTGACATTTGATTACACAAAGATGAAATACATGCAATGCATAGTAATTAGAATGAGGCACGTGTTGAAACACATCATCAGGACAATTTTTGCAATTGGTTTAAACATTAAGATTTCTATTATCTCATTTTTGACTCATTCTATTAATTTAATCTAACATCTTTATGTAATTTCCATATTAACTTTTTTTTTTCAGAGCCGATTACCGGGTGTAGAACCAATATTAGATAAGGAACTTGGATATTTGGCTACGCTTCTAGATGCTGAAATTAAATACTATAAAGGATTCAGTGTTGGCGGTTACAAGTTTGAAATCAAGTCTATAGAAGAATCTCAAATCACCCAAAATAGCAGAATTGCAACCCTAGGCACTAATGGTGAGACATACTATGGGTACCTTGATAACATACTTGGTATCAACTATCCTGGACGAGCAGGATGCATTTATGTCTTCTAGTGTATTTGGTATGATATGAAGACGGAAACTGATAAGTGGAGAGACAATTACGGGTCTTGGATAGATGAATATGGATTGACGAGTATAAACACGACACGATTTTCCTTTGAGGACGATCCATTTATATTTTCAGAACAAGCATTTCAAGTATACTACTCGAAGTGCTTGAGGCATTCGGGGTGGAGTGTTGTATGTCAATGGAGGCCCAGGGATACTTACGACGTCCCACAATTCGTAGATTTGGAGGTTGTAGAGATCAATGATGACGAAGAATTTGAGTAGGGAGGAGTTGTATGTCAAGATAAATCTCCTAAATTTGATAAAGTTTCGTGGGTTAGGGATGATTTGAATAGTGAAATACTTGTAGATATTCCTATAACTTGTAGAGAATCTGTAGAACCTAACACTTCTGTAAAGCGAAAAAGGTAACCATTATAAAAATCTATTTTGATTTGAGGAATGAATTATTACTATACGATGTGCTTTGGATGTGTGATTGTCAAAAGAGTTATGAATTGCTTTAATTTTATACCTTATTCTCTTTGGTTGTGTTATAATAGTTTCAAATTGTAACAGTAGAGTTTATGTATTAATTAGTTTGGGTTCATTGTGTGATTCTATGCTTGCAAGCTCATAGTTCTATCTATTTCCTTGTTCTGTAGAACCTAACACTTCTGTAAAGCAAAAAAGGTAACCATTATAAAAATTTATGTTGTTTAAAATTTATATCTTCAAATTTATAAATATGTCTATTTCGTTTATATCTTATATGAATTGTAAAAAAATTTCTAGGGCTTGACGAAGATGTCTGGAAATTCATCACGGACCAGATCACGTAGACTTATACAGCGCGGAGACCTACATCATCAAGTGAGAGAGCGTAGGAGAGATCTCGAATCTGTTCATAGTGTTACATCTGTACCTAGCATTGGAGAGTTCACTCCAGTGAGAGGTAACTATTTACTTTTATTTTGATTCTGTTTTTACATGACATCAAATCATTATCCCTTACATATATCTTTTTATTTTGCATTTTTATTATCACAATTGTGCTACTTCTGCTTTAGGTTGGTACATGTTCAAATATGTTTATTGAACAATTAATAACTGCAATTCCAAAAAAAGATATTTTACTTACAGTTCATCTCTTACACAGATGTAGATGCAAATCGACAAGCGCCTACAGACCTAAATTATTTACAGACGACCCCCCTTTCGCACTCCATACCTTCTGGACAGTCATCAGGTCAGTATCTCTTCTACACTCAATCTTGGATGTAATTCAGATGCTTCTATCTTTCTTTATTATATTTTAGTGATTAACGTGCATTTTGAAGGGAACCATAGCTTGAAGTTATTATTTTGTTTACATCTGTACCTAGCTGGAAGTTATTATTCTGAATGTAAATATCCACATTTATGTGGAATGTCTTGTTTACATCTCAACCTTGTCTTGTTTACATCATTTAACTTGTTTTATCTGGGGCTCATCTCCTCATCGTTCTCCCTGATTGCGAGGTGTGTCTAGGTGGGTGGGTGTTTTTGTTTGTTGCCTTGGGGTTATCTGAGGAAAATATCTGGGTGTCTGTCAGAAAAATACAATCCATGAGGTTTTTTTTGGTAAATTTCACAAATTTATGGGGGGTTTTGTGAATTCACCCCTGAGTTGTATCTCAACTAGCAACTTTATTACTACAAGCAAAAAAGAAGTATTGTCTACCTATAATGTCCCTCATGACTAAGTTAGGTAGTTTATGACATATTTAATTCCTCATTGAGGTAGATTATGACATGAAAGCACCATATGTGCAAGTATGTCTTGCTTAGTTGAATCAAGAGAGTCAAAGGTCAGCACGTCCAAAAGTGCAGAGGCACAAAGCATAAAACCCATTCATCATTAGTTGATACTTTTAAAAAGCCATTTATGAGATAATTTTAAAGAATAGCCAAGTTTTTTTAGTTTAAAAAGAGTGCTCTGTTGCTTTTTCATACAATTTGATCATCAGAAGAAAAAAAAGATGGATTTTAGATATTCATCTCTCAAATATTCCGTAAGTAGAATTATACACCGGTTTTTATCAAAATGCCGGCGATGATCAAAACATATTATTAATGATCTTAATAGTTGAGTTTTTTAGCTTATGAAAAAGAGTGCTCTATTGATTACTTCAAAAAAAAAGAGTGCTCAGTTACTTCTTCATACAATTTGATCATCAGGAAATAAAAAGGGATTTTTCAATGTTTTAGATATTTATCTCTTGAATATTCCATAACTATTCACGGGCTTTTATCAAAAAGTTCATTAGGACATTGACGGTTCAGATCGACCGCACATCCGGTGGCTGCGCACACGCCGGTGCCGCCGTTAGCAACCACGAGCACTGGCATATTGTACCTAATAGTAGAAGAAAAAAGGGTTAATGCATACACATCCCATATATTATGCATTTATTATGGAGTTACCTATTCATTATCTCTAATTTTTTTATTGGCACATTAAGCTTCTGATCTTGAAAAAATAATACTTTTGGTGGTTGTATCTATCACGCAAATGCAATATGTTAGCTTGATGACAAGAAAAGAACAGGTTCAACAGTCTCTAATGACTCATCACAGAAAATACAAGCAATGTTGCCATACTTTTTTTTTGGCTCAGATTGTCCTCAATGTGCAACATGTTCTTTTGGTGATTAACGTGCATTCTGAACTGGATATTTGTACTTACATGAATCATTTTTATTGTTTAGCTGCATCTACATCTGCACCGGCATGTGTTTCAAAACAGTCTTTTAATCTTCATTCCTAATCGTTCTCGGAAACATGCGGAGCGACAAGGCGATGGAGGTAGCAATTTGTATATATATTCACTTTGAATTTATATTATTTATTATTCTTTATATTATCTAATATCTTATTTGTCTCATCACATACAGTGCAATCGCGATCCTCTGTTCCCACTCGAGGCCCCAATACTTCCTATAAGCTTAAGCCCAATGCTAAAAAAGGTGAGAAGGCATGACCTCTGTTCCTCAATAATAGGACCCGCCCCATTGGTGATTATGCTGAGAAATGGGGAAAGTATGTGGGGACGGAGAGTCGTGTGTACTGCAAATATCCTCTCCATTTAGAATGGGGTGATGAACATAATAGGTCATTTGACGAGTTCTTTATAAGATGCCAGGTATAATTATATTTGTATTTTGATTTACCCGATTAATTTTTTATCATTTGATACTTAATATTTTAACCATGTGATTCGTTTATTGAATTTGCAGAAGGATTATGAGTTTCTCCATGTGGATCCTAATCGGCCTCTCTCCCATCATATTATTTATCGAGGAATGAAATCTCAACTACAGGAGAGGGTTCGGTATAATAGGTGTCAGGTAAAACATGAGTGTTTTGAGGTGTGGAAAAATACTCCCAAAGCAGAGAGGGAGGCTCTCTAGCTTGCTCCGGTGTTTTCTTAGATTGATAGAGACTCATGGACTAATTTGTGTGCATATTATGATGCAGAGGACAAGAAGGTGTATAGTTTAAACTAAATCAATTGTTTAGTTGGTAATTAATTTTGCCTTTGTTTGATTACAAATCTAAATATTATAATAACATGCAGGAGGAGACAAGACGTAATGCGCAGAATCGGGCATCAAATTTGCATGGTAGAGCAACCTATACAGGTGGCTCGAGGAATATGTGCCGGGCTATGGAACAATTGGTAAATTTACTTCTTACAGCTAATTAAAATTCAGATTATATAATTCTTAATGTTTTGATCAATTATACAACATATTTTTGGTGAATTGTAGAAATGTCAAATCATTAAGGATGGTGGCACACCTATACTGTTGAAACTATATTTGGGTACCCACTCGTCATCACGTCATCAGTAGATAAGATCACCGGAGAGTATACATACCTGGACAATAGCACTAAGGAGTATTGCGTAAGTGTTCTGGATGAAATTTTAACTGCTTTTATGTTATAATCATACTTCTATTTTGTTTTGAAGATCACTTAATATTTGTGTTGTCCTTAAATTTTATGAAAATGAGAACATATTATATGCCATGTTGCTGGAAATGTTATGGAAGGAGATAATTAAGCCCATGAACATTTTGCTGGAAATCATGAAGCCTTTGCTGTAAGAAGGAAAGAGGGTAGTTGAAATATCTCTATTTATTCTTAATTACAATGAATGGTTTATATGCCCTGTTTTAATCCGTTACTGATATCAACTTGAAGCTAGAGCCATAAAGATTATATCCGAGCTCAGTTTATTAGCACATATATACACCTTACATCTTGTACATAATGAATCCTTTGGGAGCTTGAATAGAATGATCAGGGCCTTAGTTCGATGCCACAACAATCTAAGACTAGGAATGAGCTATATGTGCTGTTTAAGTGACTTAGACACATGCATTTCTGTTGAAAGTATTCATTTTGAAGAAGTTTAAGTGGCGCACGTAAATGATGTAATTCTAGGTTTAAGCAAAGAATAATGTAATTCTGCTGCCATGCATCAAAGTGGAAGAACTTCCATTTGTAACGCTAACGCGATAGCTAGCTACAATAACTACTTGCAGCCATTTTTACATTTGAAAGGAAAAGTAACAAATCTTATGTACGACCTCTTATTCCATGATTGTCACTCTGATGGATTTGAAATGTAGTTTGTCCTTTACCAGCTCTTAATTAAGAATATTGGGTAGCATCTCTCTTTTATCCTGTAGCGGAAATGTCAATAATTTGGAGCCTTATTTCAAGACAATGCTCACAGATCCAAGCTTCCCACCCTTCTTAAGTATCCTAGCAGCTGACTATAAGGATACTATCCTTGTGCGAGATCAAAATAAACAGTAATCGACAGCAAAAGCTGGTAATAGTAAAGATATATGAGTTCCTTAAATGAATATTAGGCAATTGTAGTGTAATTAATTAAGAAGAAAAAAATTGCTAAGACATCATCTATGCAATTATAAGCTAAGTAAAGCGGATTTTGACAAATCCAAGCCTGCATGCCAGCCTGCAGCACATCACCGACCTAGGATTCAAGCTGCCCATCATCATTTACGCGCGCCACTTAAACTTCTTCAAAATGGAGCTATATATTGCTGTTTAAGTGACTTATGCTATAATCATACTTCTATTTTGTTTTTAATTTTTTCTTAAATATATCTACTCTTGCCTTGTTGACTTATATTTAAATACTTTGTATCGTGTAGAAGCGGGTCATCGAGAAGACAACCTCATCAAGGGTCGATTCAACCCCAGAGGACGATGCACTTTCCTTCACCCAGATGTTAGATTCCTTGCACGGAGGGTCACAGTGGTTATGAAAGAGCCATGGGCATTGGTGTCACTCGGTCTTATTTGAGGGCCTCCTCTATACCAGAAATTAGCACTTCTAATTAGGAGCTACGTCGCGAGGTTGCTGATCTTAGAGCTCGGGTAGCTGAGATGGACAGTCTCAGGGAGGAGCTTAGGTCTCAGATGCATTGGATTAATAACAATATGGTACATATGCTAATATACACACTCCCGCATACACATGTACACTAGCATACACAAATATACATATATCTAATACTTATACACACATAAACACACACATAGACTTAACACATAGTCGCGTATATACTCATACATTGCTATTACTTTAAATTTTAAGTCTCAGGGTGCTTGTCCTGCTCCCACTCCTATTGATCCACCATCCTTTACTTGTCCCTGTCTAATTCCTCAACCCATTGCCGATATACCACATTCTGCTCGTCCTGCTTCGGCTACTAACACTTCTACTTCCAGTGCTCAATGTTTATCACAGGAGAATTTTGTTAGGATATTTGCAGAATTAAGGCATTTGGGTTTGTCCCAGGAGGACATTCTTCGAGGAATTTCTTCTGTTCCTTGACTGGATTGATTGGGCCACTTCTAATTTTATTTTGGACATTTGAGGCATTTTGGATGTTAGAGACACATATATAATATTAGATGCTTTCCATTGTGAGATATTGAGTAATCATTGTGTATGTATATGTTTTGTCTCTAATATTGAATATTGAGTAATCATTGGATATTTAGCACCGTTTGAGACTTTTTTGTATATGTACATTTTGATTTCATTATGAGATATTGAGTAATTATTGTGAGAGATGTGTACATGTAAAAAGGTAGATAAATAGAGTAGCCAAAATTTAAAAATTATTAAAATAAACAGCCCAAACGGTTAAAACCGTTTGGACACCAAACGGGTCTAACTGTTTGGCCAATATTTCGCCCAAACGGTTCTAACCGTTTGGGCAGATATATGCCCAAACGGTTAAAAACGTTTGGGAAATTGTTTGCCCAAGCGGTTGAAACCGTTTGGGCGAAGTTTTTCCCAAACAGTTTTAACCTTTTGGGCAGATATGTGCCCAAACGGTTGGAACCGTTTGGGCAAAAAAAAAAAAAAAAAAAAAAAAACCAAACGGTTAAACCCGTTTGGCTATTTATTAAATCCCAAACGGTTACAACCGTTTGGAAAAATTCCCAAATGGTTTTAACCGTTTGGGAAAATTCCCAAACAGTTTTAACCATTTGGGAATTTTCCCAAACGGTTATAACCGTTTGGGAGACCGTTGGGGTAGACTTTTCCCTAACGGCTTCAGCCCAAACGGTTCTTTTTTCAGCCCAAACGGTTGTAACCGTTTGGGACCGTGTTTTCCCAAATGGTTCCAACCATTTGGGCTGTCCTGTTTTGTACTAGTGTTTTGGTTAAAATCTAAAAATAATCAGCTTTTAGTTTATTTTTAATAATAAAGTTGGAGTCTATTTAGATTAGAAAATAAATTCAATATTAGAGACAAATTAGATTAGGAAACAAATTAAATTTTGATTCATGATTTGTTTCCTCTATTATAAGGAGTCTTTTTAGGATAGAATTTAATACTTTCTAATTTTTATAATTCTAGTCGTACTAGGAGTCTTATTTGTTTTTCTTTTTAAGAAGAGACATGTAATCCCAAAGAAAAAACCAACTTGTTTTATCAATAAAATTTCTCTTTCAATATTTTCTTCGTGGATACGGAGATTGTTCTTTGTGGATTCAGAGAACACTCCCTTAGTGGATTCTGAGGTTTTACTTCCGCGTTGCGTCACTATAACTCACTTTCCAAAAAGATTTTCATGAATTTTTGCAAAATGATTCCATGTAGACGCGTCAGTTATTTCTAACTCCCAACTCCTCCAAATATCGTCTGTTGATACCACACTAGAGTTTAATAATTAATATAATTAAAAAATATTATATTTGTTAAAGTTAATTTCTTACGTGCGTAATCTTCAAAGATTGTTAGGTTCTACAATAAGAAGGCATGAGCCTGTTTCAAATCTAATCTGAAATAGTCTTTGTTCATATAGGTACTTCCATGGAAGGTGCAATCTCTATTACTATTTAGTGAATTATTTTTTATATTTACACATTGCATACACCAAGAGGTGAATGTCATATATTCATTTGCCAAGTAAGTGTTAGCGATCAAACCCTTTGGATGAGCTTGATTGCACATTATGTGTTTCAAGAAACCCAAATATCTAAAAAGACATTAATATGCGTTGTTAGTATAAGCAATTACATGTTATGTAAATAGACTTAATTGAATTTTAACTAACCTCTCCATGGGATATATCCAAAAATAGTTAACTCGTACTTCGAGTAAGGCCTCATCTACAAGGTGATGTGTAAGATGGACGACGACTGTAAAAAATGATGAAAGAAAGAATATCTCCTTTTTGCAGAGAGTTTCCTTCATTTTTGCTTTTAGTGCCTTAAATTCAACAATATTAATAACTTTGGAGCATTACTTTTTGAAAAATTTACAGAACTTAATTATAACTTTTGTTACTTCATCATTAGACATGTTGTTATAGAGCGCTATCGGAAGCAATTCGTGAAGAAGAATATGATAATCATGAGTCTTAAGTTCCAAAAGCTTTTGCTCTTTTACCTAGAAATTATTTGAAATATTAGAGCAATAACCATTCGGTGACTTCACCAACTTGAAAACCTCACAGAATCTCTACATCTCAACTTTTGACATTGTAATGCAAGATGAAGGCAACTCAAATTGCCCATTGGCGACTTTCCATGCTTGCAGATCATGTCGGATGTTCAATACATTCAAGTCTAGCTGAGCCCTTAAATCGTCCTTTGATTTCTTACCATCCTGTAGGAGTGTGGACAACATGTTACCACATATATTTTTTTTAATACGCATTGCATCTAAATTATATTAGAGTTTGAGCTTATGCTAGTAAGGAAGTTGAAAGAATATACTAAATTTTGTCCCTCATGTCGACAAATCCTCAGCATGTGTGTCATCCAAACTCTACACTTGTCTCTTTCGTTTCAGTGCCCTCTTCATGATGGATATGTGCCTTGGAGCGAGAATATCCTCTTTTGCATATCAATTATTTCCTAACTTAAATTCAGGATATCCCTTAAACAAATTTACAATCTCATCTCAAGTCATTTCGCGTAGTTCCCCTCTTCTCTCTTCTTGGCCATCAAACTCATTTACCCACCTTTTGCCCCTGCATTTATCTCTCTTTCGTAACCATCTTCTACTAAACTAATAACACATTTTTTGGCTGTGCTGTAAATGAAAGCCTTTGAAGTTCTGACCAAATACAGGATAAGCAAATGTCCCTTTCGTAGACCAATTGGAGAGATTAGCATAAGCTGGAAAATCATTAGTCATCTACACAAGAATAACATGTAGATTAAATGAGTCACGAGAAAAAATGCATCATATGTTTGGACTCCTTCATCCCAGAGATGTTTTAACTCATCAATTAATAGCTCCATGAACACATCTATATCATTACCAAGCGAACGCTTGGCTAGTATCAACAATGAAAGGATCATATATGGTCGCTTCATACAAAGTCCAGGTGGTAAATTATAAGGTATTAACACAATTGGCCAAGCAGATCACCTTGAACTCATAATGACAAACAGGTTAAATCCATCACTAGATAGGCCAAGTCTAACATTCCCACACTCTGTGGCAAATGTGGGAAAAGTTTGATCCACATGCTCTCATGCCTTTGTATATGCTAGATGTGTGAGTTTACCATTATCTACACGTCCTCTCTTACGTTATCGTATATCTTTAGTTGTGTCTTTGTCATATACAACCACTATAACTGAGGCACTAAGGGAAAATATTGGAGCACATTCATCAGAATTTTCTTCTATTGCTTCGCTGACTCATCTGACTTTCATGTTGAAGTGCGTGTATTCTTTCTCTGACGAGACACTCCACACTTTGGAGATTCCTCAAGTTTCTCATCATCCTTATAATACAGAACATGATCATTAGGACAAGTATCGGTCTTATTGTAATCTAAACCTAGAGCATTAACAATTTTATTCACATAAAAATATTTTTCTGGTATGATATTCTCTCAGTCTAGAATTACTTTGCATAGTAAATTAAGAAGTATTTGAAAATATTTATCTACCATTTGCTTAGGGTCTTAATATGTATCTGTTGAAGAATAAATGATAACCTACTATACTCGATGCAGCCGTCGTACAAATCATTCTCGTCATATTCCAATAACTTCATTAAACTTTTATAGCCCCTCATATCATGCACATTTTTGGTATTTTGGACACCTTCTGCATATCTAGGAAGTTTGATAACCTCTGGTACGTCTGGATCTTCGGCAACTTCTGCAATGGCCGTAATATCATTGAACATTGCTTGCGTATCGTTTAAATTTCTATCATCTTGTTCAAGATCTTCGCCTTCCTCATGAAAACTCTAATATTTATAATTTTTATCAAATCCTCATCTTTCTAGGCGTCTTTGTATAGCAACTTTGTCCACTAAACCCATATTTTCACACTTACTATATGGACAACACAGCAAACCGTTCTCTATTTTCCTTGGATTAGCATACACATACTCAAGGAACGCTTCCCACCCGCCGTGATAGTGAGTGTCATCTCTCGCTCTTCTTTCAATATAGGAATATCAATCCACGACTTATTAGGAACTTCTCTTATCTGTATAATAGGTACACTTATTAATTATTTTAATATCTCATAAATCGTCTTAAGTTTAATAGTCTTTATTTTTTTTATTTGAACAAATACTTAAGTAGGTGAAATTTATCTTTTATAATGGTCATTGTCGTAATAAATGAAGCTAAACACTATGTGATAAGTAGTCTTGGTTTGAATAGACACTAGGTTAGTGTAAAACACTCTTGGTTATCATAAGAAGGCTTCTATCCCATTAAAAATATAATATTGCTTAAATCTAACTTTGAATACTTTGTAGATTTATATTACTAAAAACTTTGGTAGCACTTACCCGTTGTTCTCCAAGTACACTATGCAGATGCTATTATGATTGTTGGTAATAGACTGAAATTGGTAAGCGATAGGCTGATACGCATAACGTATGCTTATTTTATCCGGAAAACAAGTATGTGCGTCCGAAATTTTCTAGAAATGAAAATGGATAAAGTATACAAAGTTAGATGTATGCACTACTAGATTCTTAACCCATCTGAATTAGACAAATCCAATAGTTACATTTCATTTTTTCTTCTTATAATACAAAGTAAGCGATTTTTTCTGTATAAAATTAAATTTCATACCCAAAATAGAGTCGTCTATCTATATTATAAGTCCAAATAATTAGTAGTAATTATTGAACAGGGATCTACGATAACCTTAAATTTTTATTCACCTAAAATCGATATATATCACATTATTGTGTTATATATTACAACTAGTTTTGAAAAAATATATAAATGTTCGATTAATTCGCATATTTTAGGGTATTAGGGTTTGTGGTGTTAAATTTTCTATAAATTATGTTTAACATTAATAAGGATACGTATTTGAGAAGTTATTACTATTAAGGTATTAGTTAGGTTATTACTATTTTCTTTTAAGGGTTAGGGGTAGGGTTAGGTTAATTACTATTTTATTTTAAGGATCATGTTGTCATTAGGTTAAAATTAGTGTAATCAAGGTTAGGAATTAGTTAGGGTAATTGCTATTTTCTTTTAATGTTTGAGTTGTAATTAGGGATAAAATTAGG